ATGAATTCGATATATTCACAGGTATGACACTGAACAGGGCTGCTGGTGTGGCTCAGTAGAGAATATATATACTTAATGCTTAAGGACTTTGAGTTCAATCCCCAGCACAGAAAGAGATTGAGAAAGGGAGGGAGGGAGAAAAGAAGAGGGAGAGGGAGAAGCAGAGGCAGAGACAGAGACAGATAGACACAGACATCAGCAGAGACAGACTGACAGAGACAGAGAAGAGAGAATGAGAGAGAGAGATTGAAAGAGAGAGAAAGAAAGGGAGAAACATTTTTTTTATCATGTTAAAATGTTTCTTGGGCTTGGGCCAGAACCCAAGTGGTAGTGTTCTTGTTTTCCTAACAAGGGTAAGAAGTTTCCCTTTGCCCCTTTCTTATTAGTAAATTATTTCCCCATCCCTGGCTCCAGGCAACAATTGGTGTGCTTTTAAACAACTGAGGTAGGAGTGAGAAAGAACAAGATGTTTTCTTCTAATAGGAAAGATCCTGATGAGAAGAAAAATAGGTGATGCAGATCATAATAGATTATTCTCTATTGCTTTTTCTAGAATTTCATACACACAGGACCATTGAGGTGTAGTATGTATTCTTTTGTCAAAGTCTGTCATTTAGCATAAAGTGTTTGAGGTTTATCCATGTTGCTACATATATCAATAGTCGACTCCTTTTCTTTACAATAATATCAACTTTTAAGGGTATGCTTATTAATCGGTTAATGGCCTTTGAGCTTCCCCCAACCCAGTTCGCCTCTTATGTATGCTAAGTAAAAATGAATAAAACATGAATATACAAATCTTTGCATGAATATTTTTTTTTATTTCTCTTAGGTACAGATATAAAACTTCTGGATCATATGGTAAGTATATATAGAAGTTTCCACAATCGTTACATTTTATTTATTTTTTGGGGTCCAATCCTGGGGCCTGAACTCTGGGCCTGGGCGCTGTCCCTCAACTTTTCAGCTTAAGGCTAGTACTCTACCATTTGAACCACAGTGCCACTTCCGGCTTTTTTTCTGCTTATGTGGTGCTGAGGAATCGAACCCAGGGCCTCATGCATGCAAGGCAAGCACTCTACCACTGAGACACCTTCCCAGTCCCTTTACATTTTTTTTTTACAAGGAACATATCTGATTGATTTCCCTTTCTTCCTTCCTTCTTTCCTTCCTTCCTTCCTTCCTTCCTTCCTTCCTTCCTTCCTTCCTTCCTTCCTTCCTTCCTTCTTTCCTCACTTGCTTTCAATTTTTGTTTTTGTGCCAGTCCTGGAGCTTGAACTCAGGGCCTGGGCACTGTCCCTGAGCT